TTGACATTTCCTAAAACGCCATGTGGCTTCATAAACGAAGAGGGGCTGATAGGGAACAATTTGACCCTTTGATTGCCACAATCCATCCATGTGAATTTTCAATAGAACTGTTCCGGTTGACAAAGAACGTTATATATATATATATATATATATTGTGACGGTAAACGCTACCGTCTCGATCGCGTGGCTGCCTGCAAGGGCAGCACCTACCGGCCAAGGGAAATCAAAAACGGGAACTCGGTCCGAAATGGGAAGGAACGCGCGCGAAGAGAAAAGGACTAGTGGGAGAGCGCCTTTGACAGCAGTAACAGCGTGCAGGAGTCGATGAGTAACGCGAGGTTGAGTAGCAGCTAGAATCTACGAGTACTGCTGGCTTGAATAGCAACGTGAGCAGAGGAATAACTCTATTACCGATAGTAGCGTCCGTGAGTGTGAACGTCGCAAGGAGCGCGAATACTAGTCTGTCAGTAGTTTTTGTTGTTGCTGCGGTCTCGGATAATGAGCTGAAACGCCATCGTAGGCCAGCCATGAGGTTGCTGACTCTGCCCGGTGGAAACAGTAGGGCGATTAACGAGGCCTCGTCTTCAGAGTGGAAAAGCGACAACCTGAGCCCCGTGTTAAGAGGCGACGCTGATTTGCTTCCCCTGATAGCGCGACTAATCGTACAAGGTAAGCTGGCTAGCTTCACGTTATATTTTTTATTGAACGTCCGCGTTGCTGTTTTTGAGCAACAACCCACTACAAGAGCAGATATGCAGGATAGGATTCGTCGAGCATGCGCTGCTATTCCGAGGCAAACTTTGTTGAACACAGTTCGCCATTTTCAAAGGCGTTTGACAATGTATCTTGAAGCAAATTTCGTCAAGGTCGTCATTTCGAACACTTGCCTCGAGATTAGTGAGAGGCAAGGGGATTCATGTGAAACAAGCACCCCAAAGGAAACAAACCTTACTACGTCCACGTCGTTATTTCTGGGTAAGGCTAAAAGTAAGGAAAACCTTTTCAAGATCAACATTTTCAAGCTCGTTGTAATATTGGGGTTGCTATTCATGAGAAAAGGCTAGCAAATAGCAATCATAGAATTTTGTAGCATTTGACCTCGAAATTCCCTTCTCATAGTCATGAAAAAGATTTCCTAAATACCATTTTGGACGTAAAATTTCTCGCTCTTCCGAACACGATGTCAAAAAAGGGGTTCCCATTAAAAAAAAAACTTTGACCTTGAAATAACCTTGAAGATTAAGTTCAAGGTCAAAAGCGTTAGTCCTATTGTCTTGTCCCCTTTGCCCTCTACAACTTTTGTCAGAACCATTTTGCCCTATCTGGCTTAGGTTCTGAGTAATCCGCCTGCGGCGATTAAAATGGGTCACCGTGTATATTTAACTTGTTATGTTGCGCGTGTGTAGTATGCGAATAATCGAGAAAAGGTTAATAACTATTGTTAAAAAAACTGGTATGAGTGTCTATGAACTTACAGCATATGGCGATTGCAAATTTGATAATATTTTTTAATGAGAAGTGGTCTCCCTTAATATACGTAATAAATATAGATATTATATATTTTATATTGCATATTAAAAAATACAATTTAAAAATTTAATTCATAAATCACTAACTATTTTCAACAATAAATAACAATTTAAAATAAACAATATACATATAATATAGTAAGTAAAATGCGGAAATGAAGATATAAAGATTAATGATTACATTCTAATACATAAATATGACAACCACAACAATATATAAAAATCACCAATAACATACTCGTAATATCTGTAAACCAATTGCTTTCTTGAATGCACACACTGAGCAGAATCGGTAGATTTGACAATCTATTTACAACAAAACGAGCACTATCTATCACTGACACATGATTAAGATTTTTCTTCTGATGAGGCCAGCAAAAGTAACAAGACGCTCACGCAAAGCTCTAAAAGATATAGCAAAACTAATCCTATCATATAAAAAATCAAAATTGACAAGACCATGACCGATCTTATACAGAAACAATATTGTCTTATACTCAGTAACTGATACTACCGAATCAATGTAACAATCAATGTTATACATACAATGTTATAATCAATCAAATTATGAAAGTTTTTTGCGGCGATATAATAGTCATACGATAAAGGATGCATTGCCTTACTAAAATGATTCGAGAGAAATCGGATGAAGCGATATTTTACCGATTCGAGCTTTGCTCTATTATACTATTGATACGGATTCCAAACCATAGCTGTGTACGTCAAAATAGAGCGCACATGAGTATTGTATAAAGTAATCAACTTACCAGGGTTTCAGAAATCATATGACCCACGCAAAACTAACGACAAAGCCCTTGATGCCGACAAACAGATACGCGTAATATGATAATAAAATGTCAGTTTCTCATCAAACGTGACTTCCAGATTCTTAAATACTGTAACACGCTCAAGAGTTGCTCCAGAGATAGAATATCTATGGTGAGAAAGCCGCTTAGTGCGCCCATATGATATGACTGCACTCTTGGAGGTATTCACACTTAATTCATTATTCACTCACCAAGAGTGAAATGCATCAATATCATTCTGAAGCTCATAAACTCAAACATCCACTGAAGCATTACTGAAAATCATAGCATCATCGTATATAAGAGTATCCTTGAATATTTGTCAACTGCAAAACAATTATTAATGAAGAGAATAAAAAATAGAAGATCAAGATGAGAGCCCTACAAAATACCCGATGACGCCAAATACAAGACAGAAGAAATGCCATCGATCAGCACGCGGTGTACGCGATTCTCCAAATACGACGTACGAGGTGTGTTCTAAAAGTAAGGTAAATTTTTAAATTGGGCGGGCTACGTAGATTCGATTATCGATATTTTTTTTATTATGTTGGTATATATGTCTTTCATATATGCTCACAGTTTCAGCCAGTTTATATGTTTACTTTTTTTTTGTGAGACAGAAACGTTAAACGTGTTTTTTGTGCTCGACGATTTTCTGTTATTGAAAACAATGGATCAAAGAATTTGCATATAATTTTGTATAAAAAATGAAATTAAGTGCTCCAAACACTTGAAATGTTGATAGTGGCATATGATGAATCTACTTTAAGTAAAAAAAATGTTTTCAAGTGGTATAAGCTCGTTCAAGATGACCGAGAAGACACCGACGACGAACCTCGCTCTGGACGCCCCAGCACTTCAATAACTGATAAAAGTGTTGAAGAAGTGAAACAAATGGCGTTAAAAAATTGTCTAATCACTATTAGAGAAGTGTCTGAAGATGTCGGCATCTCTGTTGACTCGTGCCATGCAATTTTTTCCGAAGTTTTGGGCATGAAACGTGTAGCAGCAAAATTTGTTCCGAAACTACTTAATTTTGAAACAAAAGGACCGCCGAAAGAGCATCGCTCACAAACTGTTAAACGACGTCAATGATGATCCTGATATGCTCCAAAGAGTCATAACTGGTAACAAATCATGGGTTTATGGTTATGATGTCGAAACTAAAAAGCTCAATCATCCCAAAGGAAGATTCCAGAAGAGCCAAGACCGAAAAAAGCACGTCAAGTTCGATTGAATGTCAAAGTTTTGCTCACTGTTTTCTTTGATTATCGTGGCGTAGTATATCAAGAGTTATTACCACAAGGTCGTACGGTCAATAAAAAGTATTACCTTGAAGTTATGCGCCGTTTGCGAGAAGCAATACGAAAAAGGCGTTCGGAATTCTGGGAAAACAATTCATAGATTCTGCATCATGATAATGCACCTGCTCACTCATCGTTGCTTGTGTCGAACTTTTTGGCCAAAAACAAAAGCACAATCATGCCTTAACATCTGTACATTTCAATTATTTTACATAAACACCTCATTATCGTATATGTCGTTTCTGCTTGTTCTTTTACGTGTCTAACTTTCCCTTTCTATACTTTCCACTATTTTTTGCGATTTCAGCTGCACGATTTACGACTCTCTCTCCGCGGGTCCTTGCTAAAATGAAGACTGACGGCAATCTGGACTACCGGGTCGGGTTTCGCATGTCCTTTGCATGAGCCCGTAACGATCTAAATCAAAGCACGTTTTTTCTTTCATTATCATTTTCATTCTAATTATATTATAGCGGTCTAAATTACCGATACAATTTACATGTAAATTATAAATAAATCATTTATACAGGGTCTTATATTTTAACTTATGCACCAAAATGTCCGAAACTATAAAGAAAAAGAGAGTTTCAAATAAAAATTAATCGTCTTAAGGATCATTGTCAAAGTCAATGTCACATAATTATCAAAGATCCTCCAAAAGTGTTAAGTGGGACAGCTTGTACTATGATGTTTTAAAATGATATAATCAAATTTACTTTAAAAAAATATTGCATTCTGTATTATATTATTTCATTCTGTATTTTATATCCTGTAAATAAACTTTTAGAAGTACGGAGGGTTGGCGAGAGTAGCGAGCAGGGGGGCATAACTACACTAGTGTGTGTGTGTGTGTGTGTGTGTGTGTGTGTGTGTGTGTGTGTGTGCGTGCGTGTGCGTGCGTGCGTGCGTGCGTGTGTGTGTGTGTGTGTGTGTGTGTGTGTGTGTGTGTGTGTGTGTGTGTGTGTGTGTGTGTGTGTGTGTGTGTGTGTGTGTGTGTGTGTGTGTGTGTGTGTGTGTGTTAATGATCTACCGTAAACAAGAATAAAACTCGAGGAAAACTGTACTTCCAAGCCAGAACAACGTGGCCGTTAGCTTACAGGAAAACTATTAAAAGGAAAAAGAATACTTTCTTACTATTTCAGACATTTATATATCAAATCGTACGAATCATAATTTTCTACATATCTTTTCAAATTTCATTCCTGAGGGCATAAAGTTATTACTAGAGATAGCCATACCTCAAATTTTTTTAAATCCATAATTTATGATTACAGTGAAGGAAACTATTCTAAATGACATTATTGAATTTCATTTATTTGAACTATAATTTCATAAATTCCATTTGTTTTTATCTATAGGTTCAGCAATCTGAAGTTACATGTATAATGTCAGAACCACAAAATGCTTTGATATCTACTATTGTTTTCGGAAAACAAATTATTCAAACCGCTGAAAATCAACTATTTTCCAAGACGGAACTACCCGAGTTAGGGCATGATACAGCATCTTTAAGATGGATAGAGAAAACTACTGATGCTCACAAACAGAATGTCGGGGCACAAATAGCCGCCATGAATGCTGCTACAGCACAAATAGTAACTTTAACGTCTGGCCCCATAGATAGTGTTGATCATACCGCTGTTAGCGCAGCTATTACAACTATAACAAATAACTTACCTGAAATGACTAAATGCGTAAGAATGATAGCTGCTCTTTTAGATGATGAATCGTCTGGCGACAAATTGTTAAATGCAGCAAGGAAGTTGTGTTCAGCATTTTCCGATTTACTAAAAGCCACAGAACCAGACAGTAAACAGGTATGCTATAGTGCAATTTCTTAATTATTTTAGGTATAGTATTGTAATATGAGGCGAACAAAGAAAGATTTAAGTAATATAATATTGAATTTTAATTTAATTATTATTTTTTGTAATATTGAAGTGATTTAATTTTCTTGAAATCTCTCGGCCTATACTCAGTAAATTGTTGACATTCAATAAGGATAATAAAAAAGTACGTTCACTCCACATTTATATTATATTGTATAGAAAACTTGTCTATTACCTTATATCACTAAAGTTTTTAGTGATATAACACATGATTAACTATTACGATCAACGTAGAGGCCGATACAACTGTTCGGTCACAACCTTAGCTACCTGGCGATCGCCTTCTAGCTGCTTCTTTTACTGCTCTCCGTTCAAAAAGAAGCCACGTGCGGCTTTCGGCAAATTTTTGCTGGAATCCTCACACACACCTGTGTCAGAATTTAACGCTGACTAGGCAACTCTCTCTCTCCCTCTTTCTCATCGACTCTCTCTTTGTCCTTCTCGACTTTGGTCTTCTTGCGTTCGTCCTCTCGTTTCCTCCATAGTTATTGGCCACTCTTGGCTTCGCCGGTTATTTCATCCGCTGCACCTTAAACAGAGAAAATCACCATGAGAGTGTATATCATATACTTGCAGCCTGAGCGCGACAAAAAGACAATTGCGAGAGCTAACGAATAAATCTGCAAAGCGTGATTTTTTGTTATGTACTTGAACAAATTAATATGGCGAACACTCGATGTTCGAGAATTGACAATAATTTATGATTTTATAAAAATCAAATGTGCCTATAAAGGGAAATGGGTCATATACTGCGCGATGGAGAATGACATTAACGTGATTAGCTTGTGCAGACCGCAAATAAGTCAGCTGACACGTTGACCGAATAGGCGTGATATGGATCGTGAGGCGAATTTTGGCTGAAAATTTGAGATTTAGTAGCGCAGGCCGATAGCGACGGAATTTGTCCCGAATAGACCGTGAGAAGTTTGAATGTTTCGAAACCAGTCACTGTCCAGGAAGGCTAAGGAACTCTCTTTTTCGACTACCTGCTCTTAAGCATCCAGATCCGCTTACCGACGATCTGACTAGCCGACCGCCTTTAGTTCAAACGTAGTTATTAGGATTTTTACATTCTTTCCACCTTTATCAGCGAAGCAGTGTAAGACAGCCGATTTCCCGTTTACGGTAACCTAGCACCTGCCTGTTTGCGGCGCTAATTACTTTCCTAATGCGAAGTCGATAGCTGGCGCTCAGCAACAAAAAGAAAAGCCGCAAATCGGTCGGCTGTGCCGCTGCTGATATCCGCGAGGAAGGAGAAACTCAACGAATTATTTTCTCCGATTCCTCCTCCGTCACAAACGATAATATAGGTAATTTAAGCAACTTACTCTTAATATCTATCACAATTAAAGCCACGAAATCATCATCGATTTTTGTAAATGTTGTTTCAGTTATTAGTTCATTAAGAAACTTGATCGTATTGCAAGAAATGAAGACAGAATAAAAGTGCTGTAAAATAAAGAAATAAAAATTAAAATAATAATCCAGAACTTTTCGTTCTATCTATAATAAAATAAGAAAAAAAACTGATTTTTATACTTTTCAACAAAAGAAAAACAAACTTTATATAGCGGTTTTTAAAAATATGCATCCATCGGTAAAACTAGATAAATTAAAAATCACACAGAGGAATGGCTATGTTAATTAAAAACAATATTAAATGTCACGAAATTGAAAAATACAAATACGTATATTGTAACGGGGTGAGCACTCCGTCTTTTTATTTCGAATATTTATTCGCTTAATTATATCGAAGAGCGCGCGGCGTTGTCGAAACGTTCACATTCATTAATCGGAGAGCAGGAGGGGACGGGGGTCAGTTAACCAACTTGCTACTAGTGAGAAATAATAACAGCGAAATTATAATTATCACATGCGAGTTAGTTTATTTACCTCTTCTCTACAGTATGCTTGGCCCGCGTGTTTAAGTTTACAAAGCGCGCGCGCGTCAATAACATGCAGCGTCGGAGCGATCGCAGCTCTTTGTTCACCGGGTTAGCACATGCACGCTACCGATCCTTACAAAATGCGAGGGGTTAGCAATTAGTCCAGCGCAGTCGTGAGAAAAATAAAACAAAGTCGCGATATATAGCTGGTCAGCTTACCTTTGTATCGGTCGCACTACTCGCAAGGGGAAAGGAGACGAACTCGCTATTAGTCCTTCACAGGAACCATCCGTTCTCGGTTTCGCCCTCGATGGCGAAACCCTGCACTCACGCTCACTCACACACACACGTATAGTAACGACAAGAACGCGGTTTTCGCTGATGTCCTTCTTATTCAGCTGGCTCGCTGCTGCACTCGGAAACTCTGATTTTTCTCAACAACGGCTGGATGCTCGGATGATTTATCCTCTACTAGTTCATTTATGTTCGCGCGCGTTCCGTCTCGTCTCGTACCGAATTCCCTTATTCCATTTTCCCCAACCAGTAGGTGCTGCCCTCGTAGGCAGACGCATAGCTGAGGCGATAGCGCTAACTAGACGTTTACCGTCACAATATCTATAAGCAACTGCGATTACAGGTAATAACGGTTAATATATTATCAGCCTTATACTTTTGATGGGTGAAACAATTGGTAGGATCGTTTGCCCTGTTTGCCCCTTTCTCTCATCCGCGTGCCTTTCCCCTCCGCCGCTGTCGCATTGGATGTCTTGGTTGCTAAAACCAAGTACGGATGTCCGATGTGGTTTTGTTACAGGCGTCGTTCCTGATTAGCATTGGTGAGTGGGAAGACATGAATGAGACGAGGAGGGAGTTGCTGTTGAAGCAAGATAAAGAGAGAGAGAACAAGACAAATAGTGTCGTTGGAGAAGTATTATATGAGTGAATATTTATGACACGAGTATTTATGTGACAAGTGATTACAAGATATCTTTATAAAAATTAATAAATAATTATATATTTAGGTCATTCTTTTATCAACTCCCGTCCAAAATTAGACAGAACATAGAAAGTTGCATGAAATCTTATTTGGAAGCTATCTCTGTAGTTTTTATTTAATGGCTTTCTTGAAAATCTAAGATGGCGGTTTCAGTACAGTGTATATTCCGAATGGAGGTTCTTTAAGAATTTTGGATGTAAATTTGGCTACATTGCTTAACGTTGCTATGAAACTCTTGTATGCTTGTTGAAACTTGCACCGTCAGCTAGCTAATTCGATTCCGTTTTCTTTATTTCTATTTTGTTAATTCTTTTATAATTACAATGACAATGACCTTCATAACCACAACCATTTTCATCATCAGAATCTGCAGATTCACTATCACTACTTGAAAATCATACAATATTTTCTAGTATCCCACTAATCATTGCATTTGATGCTTCCATTATCGTTTTTTCAAAATCAATTAAATTAAATTAACTTAGTACTATTTATTTATAGACATACACTTTAAACTGCAATCGTCATCTAGATAACGTTGAACGCCATTTTTCGTACATATAGCCAACTTTACGACAAAAATTTTAAGGGTACCTCCATTCGAAACACATGCATAATGGCGCGAATCTGAGAAATTTATCGAAAATTTAAAAAAGTGGTGATAATTTGCTCAATTTTTAAGTTAAATTATTTTTGAGATTGGAAATACGTTCAGTGTTGAATTTTACGTTATGATACGGTATCATTTCCGAGGTCACATTATATATTCAATATTATTTGAAGGTCAGGAAAAACATTTGTTTCATTTTATTATTGAAAGCGTTTCTAAAATTACTTAATCCATTTCCCATGCTCTTTTTAAAACTCATAAAAAAATTTCTCTTATTCTATTATTGAAAACGTTTCTAAAATTAACCCATTTTTCATACCTTTAAATCACTACTTTATCTTTCCAAGTACCATCGGCAAGGTCAACATTGTAATTTTCAGAAAATTATCATTATTGTGTTTGACAACTTTATTGAACAAATTTCTTTGCGATCAAAATACAATAAATTCTTTGTATTTCCAGTTTGATCTTTGAATGTTTCGAGTATTTTTCTTAAAATTTGAAAAGTACTTATTCTTTTCGTATTCTCTCTTTGAATTATATTATCGTTCAAACATTGTATGTGAACCAACTGTCGTTTGAGGTGTACAGTTTTAAATGGAATAACAGGCATAATGAGTTGCAATCTACTCGTTGTAAAATATCAACTTGTTTAACCTTTTAAGGACGGGGATTTTTACGTTAAAATTTGACTTTTTTTTTGCACAATATTTGTGCATAAAATGAAAGAATATGTCACGTGGAGTGCCTGACAAAATTGGTGGTCGATATATCGACCAGTCCCGTCCTTAAAAGGTTAAGGAAAGTAAAAGATTTGCTGTTTTCAGTAGTCATCACTATGATGAAATTTATGATTGCTTAAGTTATTACTCTTGAACTTTCGTCAGTAATGAAAAGTTAAAAAAATTCTTGCCTGCAAGCCAAAAATATGATTAGCCTATCTGCTCAAGATACTAGCATATTAATGAAATAGATTTTTTCAACAACCCATAAACAAGATAAACTATGTAAATATCACGTTTATCGTTAATATACCATAAGTATACACTTCGCAACAAAACTAACGCAACATGTAATTCTGATTGAAAAAGGGCGAAAATTTGAACATCGTTATTTAAGGTAAAAAATATTTTCATATGATCATATTTACTCAAAATTAAAGGTTAAAGTCACTACTTTAAGATAGTGGATCTCGATTTTCGATTTGTTCCAAACTCTACTTACGTGACCTTGAAATTCAAGATTATTTTTTAAAGCTCGAAAATCGTAAACTTTCGCAATGCGCCTGCGCGTGGGTGATTTCTTTCGATAATTATGATCATTGCTATTTTTGTTAACTTAGTACTGCCCTTTTTTTTAATATCAAAAAAATTGATTCGCTACAATTTTTTTGACGATTTTGCAGCGTTAGAAAAATTTTATTAAAAAAACTCGT